GTGTATCGCTACACCGTATTGTGGGATATTCCAATTGACATTTATAGATACACAAAATGTTGAAAGCGAGGGACTTAGACCGACTGTTCTAAAAATAGATTTTGCGTTGTGGGACATTTTTCTATATATCCTTATGGGTCAAAAAAATTATTTTTTTTGTTTTTTATGGTAGGAATAGCATTTCCAACATTTCTGTGAAGTTTAGACTACATGGTTTATGGGTCAAAATATAGATGACCCATAAACCACCTAAGGATCCCACAACGTGAGTCTGAGATACGCCAAATATCCCATAACACGCCTCTTGTATAACTATATATATATATATATATATATATATATATATATATATATATATATATATATATATGATATTACGAATTATTGTTTTCATAGAACGAATTAAATTTTTTATGATAAATAAAAGAATTTCAAAGAATTTAATTCGTTATATAAAGTTTTAAAGATTTAAACGGGTTATTGTAATATCTATAACGTGAAACTTTAAGTTTCATATATACTATATAATATAATATAAGAGAGAAGAAATTGCACGTATATATTTGGTAAACATACTGCTTAAGGGGGTTGGATCCTGCCATCAAAAGTTATGATAATTTTTTATCAAGTATATTTTTGGAATTTATTCACATAGCTTAATTAAAAATCAAAACAAACAATGGGGGTCAACGCGCTTCTTTTGGCGCTACAGATCATTTAGTTTGACCTTTTTTGCACTGTAAAAACGTCTAACACCTAAATCAATTTTTAAAGTTTTTCCTCCAATATTTTTATTCAAATAAATTATGGGAACAAACACAGTCTTATTTCATCTTGATTAGACGCATTAAAATTTTTGACAACGAAAACAATTTTCAAATTACTCTGCATGTTCAATTATTTGACCTTTTTGCACTCAAAAATTTGTTTTTCTGGCATTAAAATATTAACAAGCAAAAAAATCATTTGAAAGTAATGACATTTTACTGAGTGTAAGAAGAATGGTTTAAAGTATCTTATATTTTCAGAAAAGAAAATTAAAAGTGGGGGTCAGTGATGTTAATTTTTAGATATTACTAAAAAAGTGCCAATTTTAATCATAAATTAGGGCTATTTTTTTCCTTGATTTTCACAAGTGGTAATCCAACTTATACTCATAGTTCCCTTTCTAAGGAAGAAATTCTTCAAAATCATATGTCAGTTTTGAATATTTTTAATATTCCAAACAACCAAAATGAATTTGAATTACCATATTTATATTGGATTCCGAAACTTCGTAAAAATCCTTACAAAGATACATAGCGGGTTCCAGTAAATGTTCAACCAAGCCTCTATCTTTACTCCTCACTAAGATATTAACAGTGGTGAAGGAGAAACTTCAAGAGTACTGTGCAACAATATATTCGAGAAGTGGTGTAAATCAGATGTGGATACTTAAAAATTCCATGGAACTTTTGGAAAATTTGAAATCACAAGATTTTACCAAAATCAACAGCTTAAAAACTTTCCAACTTTATACACAACCATTCCCCACGATAAATTAAAGTCCAGGCTTTTTGATATCATTGACAGCTGCTTTTTCAATAAAAATGGAACTCGTAAATATTCTTACCTTGTCATTGGTCATTTGCAAAATTATTTTGTTAAAAAACATTCTGATTGTTCACACAAGTACTCTGAAGTTGACATTAAAAAGATGCTTGAGTTTCTGATTGACAATATCTATGTGGTTTTTGGAGACCAGGTCTTCCAACAATCTATTGGAATTCCCATGGGTACCAATTGCGCCCCGTTATTAGCAGACCTTTTTTGTATTCATATGAAGCAGAATTTGTCCAAAATCTTGTACGTGAAAAGAAGAAAACACTTGCTGTGACCTTCAACTCGACATTTAGATATATCGACGACGTATTGTCAATTAACAATGGCTATTTCCATTCTTATGTCGATACGATATATCCTTGTGAACTTGAGATAAAAGATACCACAGAGTCTGACACATCTGTTTCATATTTGGATATTTTACTTGAAAAAGACGTTAATGGTAATCTTACAACCAAGCTTTATGATAAACGTGATGACTTCAACTTTTCAATCGTCAACTTCCCTTACTTATGCAGCAATATACCTTCATCACCTGCATACGGGGTATATATCTCTCAGTTGATTCGATACGCAAGAGCATGCTCTACGTATGTACAATTTCTAAAACGAGGTAAATTATTGACAAATAAGATGATGAAACAAGAATATCAGTAGTCTCGTTTAAAGTCATCATTTCGTAAGTTCTATGGTCGATACAATGACCTTGTCAGCAAATTCAATTTATCATTGAGTCAAATGCTGACTGACGTTTTTCACACTAATTGTTAGGCCATTATTTACACACTGAATTGTCGACAGATTTTCCCGTTATTTCCCGATCACGAGAAGGAGCACACGGCGGGTGTGACCGGTCGGCAGGGGATGCTCACTCCTCCATGGCACCTGATCCCACCTCTGATGTTTGGAGGTCCGTGTTTGCTCTGCTCCTATTTTGTATTGATTAATGGACTTTTGAGTTGAATACTGTTCGTTATCTCCATATATTTCATTTGCTATATTTGTCCAATATGATGATAGAATTCATGAAAGTTTATTTAATATATAATTTAGGATCAGTATAAAACAGTTCACTGCACAAAATAACTCTATGCAGACTGCATGTAAAAATATGAATCCAAACTTAACATACTTTAAATACTTATAAAGAGAAAAAAAAGATCATTTTCTTCTAAAAAAAAAAAAACCCCTCTGCCACAAAACATAGTTCCTCACTTAACGCTTTTGGTTTGGAATTTAACGTAGGTCGCGGGTTTGCAGGCCATTTAAAAGTGTCCGAAAACATACCATGAAAATTAGTTATATGAATCCCCTACCTTCGTTTTATATTCTCTGAAAAATTTATAAAATTCGTCTGCATCGTTTTTGTGTAATTAAATCCCAAACATGCCATTGTTGTCGTTACATTTTCGACGTTATTCTATTGAATTATACAAGAAAAACGTCGTTTTCGGCTCAATTTGAGGCAAGATTTTGTTTAAAAAATATCAATAACTTTTAAATGGTGCAGACGATATTGTTTTCCATTTGGAATTTTTAGCAAAGAATTGATTTGAAATAAATCAATGTGAAAAAATTAATATGTCTTCGGGTTAGTTTTCGCGTAATTTAAATGTGGATAATTGCTTTTATATCGCAAAATGTAACATTTTTAAGAACGACGTCATAAAATATCGCGACGTCATGCTTGACGTCGTGAATATCTATCTGGTATTCGGTGCAGAAAAATACTCAAAAATAATTTTTATAAAAAAGAAATTCACGTTTGTCTGCTTTCAAGTGACCCGTGAATCGTATCATAATAATTTTATATCAATGAAATGATTATTAGACATGTTTCTCTTCAGATTAGGGTTTTTGTACGTCTTATATTAGTGAAATTCTCGCAAGGGACGTAAAACAACAATTTAATCAATCCTTTAATTTCTTTCTTCCAATTTACTTTCTTTATGTGTTGTTTTCTGTTTGTTTTGTTTTTTCGTTGATTAGACGTATCCTTACATTTGGCTGTGTCTTTTTCTTTTAAAGCGTGCTGGCAGAAAACGGCATCCTTTAATTCAAGTAATTCAAGTATATAAAATGTTTTTATTTTGACCATTCAGCAAGGCGCTCAAATCTACGAATTTCTGCCAAATATCGTCCCGGCTAAATACAATATATTTTCAGTATATATTTAAACAAAATATTTATTTTACATACCACATTTTCAGAGGGGTAAATGGGACAAGGATTTAAAAATTAATTTATTGACATAATCAACAGCCAGTTTTTTAAAGAACATTAATTCTACTTGTTGGACATGAAAAGCAAAGTAGCGAATAAAATCTGTATGTTACAGCATTGCAAGCTGTTGCTTAGGGGATGGTCATTTCAGGGGGGGGGGGGTTACAGATTTTGGAAATAAATAATCTGTCCTCGAAAATGTTGAAAATAAATAATCTGTTCTCGACTGGGCAAGAAAATAAATAATCTGTCCAAGACTAGTTTTAGACCCCCCCCCCCCGGGATATTTCCAGTGTCGATCATTCGAATAAACCTTCTTCACTAAATTACCAATTCCAACAAAGTTTTATCTAAGTATTGTATCGACTATACAAATCGTAGAAAGCCTTCATTATTTGAGATAAATTGTTGCTTAAATAATATAACACTAAACTACCAATTCCAAGAAAAGTTATAGCTAAATAATGATATACTGAAGAATTTAATAAAACGAAAATCATCGCAGATTTCTTTTTCATTGTGACGTCATAATCAAATGTGCACAAGAAAGTCGCCCAAATCATATAAATGGCGTACCCAGTTTTAACGACGTCAGCAAACCCGCGACCTACGTTAATCATGTAGTTTTAACTGAAAATAGTTGAATTGGTATTGTAGAATCCATATTTATCGTAAGAATTAAAACATTATGCAGAATTTTTGAAATATAGGTTAAGATAGAAATCTGCTCAAAAGCTCAGGAGCGAACCTCGTTCATTTATAACTTACAAATCCAAGAGATCGAGTCATATATATGTAAGCTTATTTTTTTTAATGGATTTAACTGTTAATATTAATGATGTATACCCATTCCACTATAACAAAAAATATATTGACTAACTTATTACATAAACTTCCATTTTAAAAATCAAAATATCTTTGAATTGAAGCAAAATACCTTAGCTGCTTTAGAAAACAAATTTAACATATTATGTAGTACACTTTTTTTCTTAAATGCGTAAACTTAAAGACTGTAGATATATTCTGTGATTAACTTCCATGTTAATGCAATACATATTTACAAAACATTCCATTTTCAATCAATAAACAAATATGATAAAAATCATGGTTAATTTGATGGCTTAAATCTATAGTCTCGAAAGTTTTTCTAACATATATTTTATTTTTAACTTCAGCAAATCGAAGAAAAGAAAGCTGAAAAAGTATGTTTTAGTCATAGAAAAATAACAAGGAAAATACAGAAAAAAGAAAGAAAGAACCGCGAAGCTGAAGAAAAACTTGAAAAACTAGACAAAGATAAAGATTCAAAATTAGAAACTAAATTTAATGAAGAAATAAAACGTAGAAAAGAAGAAATTGAAGAGTATAAAAAAGAATTGAAAAAATTGATAGCTGATGAAGGAGAACAGGAAAAAATTGCTGAATCTGCAAAAGGATTATGCCGGAAAATTCTTGGGTATAAAGGTAAATCATTTTTTAAATTAGTCAATTAAGCAAAATAGTTATGCTTTTTGAAGATTATTTTGTAACTTGGGCTATCGGTAACAAATACTCATAATGTTAAGAAGAAGTGCACTTAAACCATGAATGTTAGATTATTAAGCTCATTATCTCCTACTCTGCTAGGGTCAAGACTGTTTTTCCTTTTTTTTTCTTAATAACGCGTATTTCAAAATTTTGAAGAGAAGAGTTGTTATTTTAAAGAATACTTATTAGTTTTGTTTTACTCATATATCCTTCTTTGAGATTTTATTCAATTAATCATGTAGATTTTAGAAATCTTACAGCCGTATTCTATAAATATTCTTAAGTTGAGAAAGTTTGTTTCTTTATCCTCGGTTTAACAGAAAGTTTATAAAAAAGAAAAACTATTCTAACCCACATTGTTCATATTAGGTCTGGTGCTTTAAATTCGTTCCTTATATATAAATTTCAACCACGTAATGATTGTAAAAATAAGACTTTTCCTTTTAATTGTATACATTTCAATTGCTACATCAGGCGTGGTGTAAAGTATTTGCCGTAGGTCATTGTGAAAAGGCGACAGAATTTATGTGGTATAATCTTTTTTTATTCAATCAAATACCATTTTACGACCAATAATCAATCTTGGGAAAAAAATTACAGAATCAGGGAACAATGATAATGGACCAAAGAAATGTGTGGATACCTCTGATATTTTACTTTGGGCGATTTTTGCAAATCGGAGGGAAATAGCTGAAATATGTTGGCTTCGAACGGATAACCATTTGGGTAAATAGAAGATAGTCCTATAAAAAAAAAAGTAAATCTTGAAATTTCAGACTAGGAAACTGTTTAAACTCATTTATTTTAGAGATTTTTTTTTTATAGATTTTTAGCGACAATAATTTGACAGCAACATAAAAATTGACAAAGATGCAAAAAGAGATTTAAATTCAAATACGATATTTCTATACTGTTATGTTTTTTGTAATTAATATTATTTTCAAATTAAAAAAAAAATCTATATTTCAACTACCTTCTTAATAAGTATTTGATGCAAGAAGGAGATAAATATTTTGATAATGAATAAATTATTACATTTTTCCAGTAACTGGTCTAGTCTGTGCTGCAGTGCTGCAGAAGTTGTCTAAAAAGGCAAACAACGTGAAAGAACAAAATCTGGCAACAGAATTTGCTAATCATGCAAAGTAAGATGTGTGTTTTGTTGCAACTGAAAAATTTTACCTTTTACTCCAGAATGAAAAGTTCAAGGCTTGTGTCAAAGTGAATGTTAAATCCAAGCAATGTTGACTACGTGATGTATATGTTGGTCCAATGCATTTTTGGTCCCAATGACATTGTGAGTTTGTAAAGGTGTGAACATGACTTTGATGAGGTTCTTCTCGAAAGAAAATAGATGATTAGTTAGAAAAGGTTATACGTCTAACATTGCAAAACACAAAGTTGTTTACACATAATAAAATCACAATCATCTGTCGGATTCAATTTTTACATGATAAAGAGCTTGTGCTATCAACTAAAGGAGCATCAGTCAGGGTTAAAATGAGTGATAGGTGTGATTTATTATTATTGTTTAACGCCGAGTCAGCAATATTTCAGCCATATATTTCGGCGAGTGATAGGTGTGAGCTGTAATAGGTAAATATAGAGGTAATATAGTTCGATTTAATATAAAACTTGTGCATAAATAAATTGAAGATCATATAATATAACAATCTGAAATCCATTGTAAAAATACCTTGATTTATTTTGGTAAAAACGTTCAAAACATTAGTAATTTTTTTTAAATCAAAGTTAACTATAGTGAACTGTAGTATCTTTCGTAGGACACGCAATCTTTCAAGGGAAGAACATTAATGATAAGTGAAAATTTAATTATATCTCTTTTTTAAAAAAAACCCTCTATAACTTATGGGCCAGGAAAAAGGAAACGTATGTGAAAGCTTCAAAGAATAGTATAGATTTAAATTTGTTAAAATCATTACACCCGAAGTTAATCAAGAGCGATAATTGCAGATCAGTCTTTTACAAAGGAACAAAACAGAAAATATTTGTAAAAATCTTTAAAAGACATGATTTGTTAAAATAATATGTACTTATATTTAGTAAGGGAAAAGTCAGGTTTGGTTAGGTCATGCCTCCCTCCTCTGTCCCTCCCAGTTAGAGTGAAACCGTTTAAACATTTCAATACTTATCTGATATTTGCTTTTCTCTGATCAAAATGTTCAGATGAGCGATATGGTCCATGGGCGTCTTTGTTTTTATTGTCATAATGACATGCTGAGCCAAAAAAGCTACTTTATTATGCCATGGCGAAATGGTTGATTGGTAAAGTCAATGATAGGTATTCTTTTAGATTTACTTGGAAACAACAAATCAATTCCTTTTAAAAAAAATGTCCATGTACTGTATATATTTCCGTTTCTAATTTTTTGCTCTGTGATATCTTGTTCGAAAGTTAGGTGAGTTGATTTCTTGATAATTCAACCGAAATATTAATTTCGCCAGGGGAAAGGTCAGGAATACTTATATACATATCAATCTCGTGCGGTTGTGTTTTTGTTTGACGTCGGTGGGCGAAGACTATTGAAATTTTCATGTGAGGCCTCGTGTATTTAAAATCTATTAGACGGCATTTTTTAAAATTTTTATTAATAATATTATTTCAAATAATCATATTATTTATTTATTCTGTGATACATTATTGGTGGAAACTACGTCGTTTATCATTCCTTGTGTAAAAACTGAAAGTACTCTTGTCAAAAAGAGAATTTTTCAACGACTTTATCTTTGTTTTTGAATTTCGAACTTTCATATATAGAATGTTTGAGGACAGATGTTTGGCAATAATGGACGGTATGTATGAAGAAGATGATAAAAACGCAATTGACCTTATGGATGACGACGTGAATGTTTGGGGTATAAAATCAAGTCCGCTTACCTTTGCCCACGAGAATTTCATGTACGACATTGTAGCCCACACATGCTCCCAGAAGAACATGAACAAGCAGTGGTACAACAATCTGGCTCCGGATTTAAAACCATTTCTTAAAGTATGGTGTAAAGAAATATTTTGAACTTTTATCACGAACACAAGAATACAGTCATGCATACTATGGAAAACTGCAAATTGTACTAAAATACATTAAATGTGTTGTCTGGTACTCATGAGGTCATACATGATTTTAGGTTTGTAGTGTTTTGAATAAAAGTATCAAACAGATTTAAACAGGATGTAAAGTAAGAATGGAAATAAAATAAATGAAGATAAGGAACAGGGATCATTCAGAAAGAGCTTATATACGACACCAATATGTAAACAGGGCGTAACACAGGATTCCCTGGAAGCGTCACTCATGGGATGAAGTGCATAGGGGAAATAGGTATCCCCTGTCGACCGGTCAAATGGACCGTAAACAGCTTAGGCGGAAAACTCTGTTTTCAAGTTTAGTTTAAAAATAATGGTTAAAATACGACCCAATTATAGGTTGTATTAGCTAACAAGGTCATTACAGTATAACTACCATAGAATTGACAAAAAGCTGACTTAAGCCAAGATTGCTGAATTTTTTAGTAGTCAGTCTCAATTTAAAACTTAATCGTAATCAGTTTTTGCTCTTGAGCATCAAATTAGTTGGAGGACATAAACATCATATTAGTAAAAAAATAGGGAAAGTTGACGATTGGAAGCTGAAATCATCTCGTTTGTCATACAACATATTTATCGTTGGCCTTATCATCTATAGTCAGTAAATCATTCAAATATGAAACAGGTGTTGTAAACCCTGTTGTGTCTTTTTTGAGACCAGTGGGATATATAAAGTCGGTATTGATGGAAGGAACTATTGTTCTTTAATGAAAAATTGGTAAATCTGAATATTGAGCCACAGCAAGTGTGTTCGTCTTCTCGTGTAGAAGTTCCTGAATAAAATCTGTTACACAGAATTTAAAAAATGAGGTCGGCTATACTTAATAAAGAGAAATATTACTGTTCACTGTTATACCAACATATTCTTGGAAGACAACACTTTTAAAAAATTATTTAAAGCTATGTAAATGAAGTATAGATAATGGTTGGTCGTTTGATGACATTTTGCAAATTAGATTTATGTCCTTGGCTTTTGATTTTAAATCTAAAAATGCCTTATTTTTGATAGCTTTAAAAAAATGTCAAGCCTTTTGATTGGAAATTTAATTTTTCTTTTTCTTTCAGTCCGTATTTCGAAAACCAGCGAAGTTTTTTGCTGCTCCTCTTACAAGATACATGTACAATTATGTACGTCATCTTTTAAATGTTAACATAATATTGTCAATTCCATAAGTATACTCTTTCACTTACTAAAACTAAAAAGGAATAATCACAATGTTTATAAATGAGCAAATGCAAGTAGTGTTTTACAAAAGTGATATATTCATTTGATCTTTATTGTATCTTTTCTAGGTCATGTTCTTCGTCATGCTGGTGTTTTACAGTGCTTTTGTTCTGACCAGTATAGGTGATGAGTACTATACATTGGATATAGCCAAAGTCTTCGAATATTATGTTTACTTCTGGGGAGCTGGTGATCTCATAGAGGAACTCATAAATTGTTTTGTAAGTCAAAAATTCATCTAAGTATATTTAATTATTTTATTATTTTAGAGGCAACCTTTCAAAATATTATAGTCCTCCAGAAATTCGAGGTAATATTGATATAACGAAGAATAATCAAGCTCAAACGTCCATTGAGACAATACTAAATTGGAGCAGAGCGAACTGCATTTTAATTGTGTGAAATTAGAAGTCATTTATAATGGGCAATTATGTTATTTTCATACAAAGAATGAATGTGCTTTATGAGCTTTGATTGCGATGGGCTTAATGGGATTTGATCATATGGCCAACCCGTATTTACACGCAGATAAATGTTTAAAAATAATACCTTATTTCCTAATTAAGGTCTTACTACCTTTCTTTGAAACATCTGAGACCTTGTTGGAATAGTATGCTTTGCATATGAAATGTTAATTACTGTTTTTGCAGTTTTTAGCTAATGTCTTTTTTTCATATTTGGTTCCGCCAGAAAGAATCATATTAAATGAAAGTGATATTTTTGTGTACGTTTTGCTTTTTATTTCAATATTATTTAAGGACATACGCAACGTAGTTTGAACTTTATTGTCTTTTTCCCTGGAGCTGAAGAGTTCCAATACTTAAAGGAACTGTGTGATACATTTTATCGTCTATATATGCTGTTGTACACTTCTTCTAAAACAAGTTTTGATAAACAAAACATCTACAATATATGTTTAGTAATTTTTGTATATTTTTCTTTAAATTATACACAAAATTTCAACAATTGATATCTTTTCAAAACCCCTGGTAATGCATGCTAATTTTTTGTCTACGAACATTTGATGGCACTATAATCTTAAATTAAGAATATCTTGAAAAATTATCAGTAGGTAAGGTACGTTGCGTATGTCCTTAAGATAGATGAAAAGTGAAATAAGTCCAATTTGTCGACAATACAGGTGTTTATGTGTACAAATTCAATAACATGTTAAATCTTTAATTAATGACACTTAAAACACAATTATACCCAACTTATCAAATTTCTTGTGAAATTGTACACAGTTTGATTTTAAATTATTTCTCTCTAGGGTTGTTTGGAATCAAAAGGTCGATCCCACCGCGGTTATTTTTCTAGACTGAAGAGATATCTATATGACTTCTGGAATTTGGTAGATCTTCTGTCCTATGCTTTACTGATCACAGCGTTGTTTGTACGCCATTTCCACCCGTCCACCAATTTTACTGTAGCAAGGAGAATGTTTTCGCTTTCTCTTCTTGTTATGTACCTGAGGTTTCTCGAGGTTTTTCTAGTACACAGAAAAATGGGACCAACTCTGATCATGATTAAAGAAATGGTAAGTTATGCATTATTATAATGTTTATTTAATTAATCCATGAAATTTATAATTTACTATTTGAAAAAAAAAAAAAACTCATCTAAATCAGCCTTAGGCTAAATCCTGATTCCTTCATTGCTTTTTGTAACACTTTTGCAAATATTAAAAGAATTCATTTTGGTTTTTATCTCATACAAATGGAGAAAATATTTCAGACTCTTATAAACACAATCATGACTAAGACCGAACTCTATATTATTTCTTTACACTATACATGTACCTTCATTGTTTTTATTTGAATTTTATACTTCTGGAATTCTTTTTTTTGTAAAAACACTGTTACCCTCTGAATCACAAAACATTAGAACTTAGGCACGGTCAATATTTCTTGATGATTGGAGCATGTGATATTTTAAAAAAATAATGACTGTGCGGGATCTATAAGAACAGGCTTTTCCTTTATTGTCCCCCGCTTTCGCGAAAGCGAGGGGACATTAAATTTCATTTTTGTCCGTTTGTTAGTCTTTCTGTCACAAAACTTTAACCTTGGTCATAACTTTTGAATGAAAAGAGATAGGACTTTCATATTTAACATGTGTATTACCTGTGACAATAACTTTTCAAATATACTAAGATTTTTCAACATGTGACCTTGACCTTGAAGATTGACCCACTTTTCAAAAAATTTAACATTACTTTAAATTGACTATATTTTCTTAAAAAGAAAAGGTAGGGCTCTCGTATTAAAGATGTTTATTACCTGTGACAAGGCCTTTCTAAATACGCTATGATTTTTAACCCAATGACCTTGACCTTGAAATTTGACCTACTTCTCAAAAACTTTAACCTTGGTCATTACGTTTGAAGGCGAAGAAACAGGGCTTTCATTTTAAACATTTGTTTTACCTGTGACAAGACCTTTCTAAAAACACTATGATTTTTGACCCCATTTTCTTGACGTTGAAGTTTTTCCTAATTTTCAAAAACTTTAACCTTGTTCGTAACTTTTGAAAGAGACTTTCATATTACACATGTGTATTACCAGTAACAATACCCTTCTGTATACACTAGGATTTTTGATCCAATGCCTTTGAAGTTTCACCTACTCTTCAAAAATTTAAACATTACTTTAAATTGGCCATAACTTTTGAAAGAGAAAAGATAAGGCTTTCATATTAAACATGTGTATTACCTATGACAAGACCTTTTTAAATAAACTATGATTTTTGACCCCATGACCTTGACCTTGAAGTTTGGCCTGCTCCTCTAAAACGTTAACCTTGGTCATAAAAGAACTACGCATGCTAACTCTCGATTCCCGCCTACATTTTACATCCATTTAATTCAATACTAATGGCAATTTGGCCGTAATATCTTTGTTTAATGCAAAGAACAGTTCAATTGTAATTGACTGATAATTTTAATACCAGAGTTAAATAGTTAATTACCCCTAATTCCAGCTCTTTAAATAAGGGGGGTAGACGATATTTTTCATTGAAATCGTTCTTTAAAGCATCACCACATTTTAAAATATTTTTGGATATGAATAAATGTTCCTTAAATCTTTTCTTATGTTTTACTCATATAAACTTAAACATATATTATTAATAAAATGCAATGTTTTAGTTATAAACCCCTTTGAAATTGGTGAAAAAATAAGCATTTTTGTATTTTTTTTTTTGTGTGTGTAAACATATGCCCCCCCCCCCCGTGAAACACAAAAAGCGTTGGTTTGAATTTGTGAAATGAAAGTCCATATTACCTGCAAAAAGGCATTTTTGTTTCACGGGGGGGGGGGGGAGATGTTTAAAAATATTTTCCGTTTTCCGTTGATTTCTATAGAGAAAAACACAAGTTTTACCAAAATTATTGAGTTATCTCTCTTTGTTTTTCCAAAGAAGTAATGTTTTATGAAAATTCATACAAATATCTATAAAGATATGAAAAATCATTCAAATGTGTTAACTTTTGAAAATTGACTTGGAGGTAGGCAGGAGAACAATACTATCATTCGCAGTTCTTAGAATGAAAAGACATACTGCTTTTATATTTCTCATGTATATTACCTGTGACAAGTCCTTTCTTAATACACTATGATTTTTTACCGTCTGACCTTGAAGTTTGACCTACTTTTTAAAAATGTTATCTTTCCTTAATTTTGATACAGAAAAGATAAGTCTTTCACATTTTATATGTACATATGCAGTGTAACAAGATGTTTCCTAGCATGCTTAATTTTTTTACCCCTGGTCCTTAACCTCCATGTTTGGCCTAATATCCAAAAATATTAATTTTGGTGATTACTTTTGTATTACGTATGATAAGGCCTACATGTACATATTGACACAATATGCCATAAATGATAGCATTCCACCCACTAAGACACCGAAAGCAGGGCACCACAATTCTTTGAATATGCTTGTTTGGATCTGTAAAACATTTAGTGTATTATGATAAGTGCTCATGTATTTTTTGTGGGCATTAAAAATTTTAAAATTTTCAATGTAGCTCTCAACTACATGCATTACTTATATCATATTTATAATTTTCAAAGAAAATAATTAAAAATAATGTATGTTAGAAATATGCACAAAGATGTGACATCCTCTTAAATTTATATATATTCTTTTTCATATTGAATATTACATTGTTTTTGTTGTTTTTTTTTTTCAGCTGAAAGATCTTCTCTACTTTCTTGGGCTCGCGGTATTTGTTGTACTTGGTGTGGGAATGTACTACCATGCTAACTTATGGCCAGATCACCCAACTATTTGGAGTGGAAACTGGATTAACTGGAGGATTTGGACGATAATCTATTATCCCTATTGGCAGTTATACGGGGAAATTAATAACGAAGTGTTGGAAGGTATTGATGGAAAATACATGATTATGTGAGCTTTTCTAATCAAAATTTGTCTGTTTTCTGTAGTTGTCATTTCCCAAGATGTCGTTGATATTGTAGTTATAATCTTACATATTTTCATCCCATTTTCCATAACAAATTGGGTATGATTAGGTTATACTTAGATTTGGCAAAGTCTGGAATGAGATCGTCACAGTAACCTGCATGAGGTGAAAAACAGAGCCAAAGATTTATTCATATTTTTTTAAAAGATTTGTTTACACACCTTAAACCCTAAGTTAGTGGTAAATCACTTTGGCCTTTGGGTCTTTTGTATTGATAATTTTTGATATTTATACAGGGGAGGAACTCTCAGGCTGTACAAACGATACAAATATTTGGAAGACAGACACTTCTATTAATCGCTGCCCCCAGGAGGACTGGACCGTAACTGCTGTAGCAGCTATATACATGCTGTTCTCAAACCTGCTTTTGGTGAATCTTGTCATCGCCATGTTTAGGTACCATTTAAATTCTTGTTTTTTTTCTTTTTGTTTGTTTCCTGACATTTTTAATATATTATTTTTCGATAATAACCTCATTACACTAAAAATAAAGGTCATTTTGATTTTTTCATAACTATTTTGCTCTGATAAGGTTATTATGGTTGAGCTTTTAGTTTCGAAGTTTAGCTGAGTTGTATATTCTACTTCAATAATATCTTAAATAATATTTTCTTTTAGTTACACATTTGAAAGAGTTCAGGAAAATTCTGAAAAACTCTGGAGATTTCACCGATGTACGGTTATCAATGATTACGAGCAAAGGTTACCTTCCCCGTTCAATCTTTTAACTCTTCCTTACCGATTGGCTTGCTGTCCGAGAAGAAAAGGGGGGTGTAGGAACAAACTTAGAGGTATCTGTAACTGAAAACAATTTTAAAGAGGCAGTCCGCCGAAAAACCAGGCAGTATTGTATTGATAGGCGGCACATCGAATGTGACGAATTTTTCATATTTTATTGAAAACAATATTAAAGTAGTCCAAATGGAATAATGCCATTAAAGATTTGTATGAAAATTGTTTATTTAGTCCAATATTGTTTTGTTTTGTGTTTCTGAATTCCTCTATATAAACCATTTAATGTAGGTTGGAAACAAAGAACTGTAAATTCTTATACATTTGTAACTGGTCTACAATTCACCCAGAACTAAATGTAGAAATATTTCATCTTTCAGATTAAAAAGTAAAATCAGTTGGAAAAATATCTTCAATTGTAGTTTTCATGCAAAATAGATGGATGTTTTTATGAAATTTAGCGATGCAAGAGTTATCTCCCGTGGCATCGGGAAATCTGCTCAACAGCTTACTATCGGAATCCTAGTGAAATATTTAGAACTGATACACTAAAGAATATTATTAAATAAGAATCATTACTTTATTTTCAAAATGGGATTCATTTTATACTTTCAAATGTAATATTTAGTTTAATATTTGCTTTATTAAGGTTTAATCCACGTTTCCATTGATGTATCAGTGACGTCAAAAACCTATCTCATATTGCGTCACAATTAATAGTTACATATATTCCGCAAATATTTGTGTTAACGTGCAATGAAAAAGATTTTTTAAAAGTTAAGTTAAATAAATTCTCTTTTTCTGTCAAATTATTCTTCAGTCATTATCCTTTATATTAAATAATATTTTGACCCAAATTGTATTCTATTCACGAGCAGTACCTCAGCTATATAGTTTTAAAACAAGTTAGTATTGATAAGTTATTTCATACATGTTTTACCTCTTAGGATTAAATTGTTTTATTTTTAAAATGAATTACTAGCATATGCGTAAAAATAATTATTCTAGTGATTATATTGAACATTTCTGATAAAAATTGGATGTGAAAATGTTAGTTTTTTTCTTGTTATCATTCATGAAGGATGCATATTTTAGATTTACGCAACAGAATTACGAAGTCGAGATGTTCAATTCATAAAGTTTTTTTTAAAAAAACTTGAATATAATAATCTATGCAGTCAAATCAAATCAAGTCTGCGGAACGATTAAAAATATAAAAATAAGTTAATATATATATATATATATATATATATATATATATATATATATATATATATATATATATATATATATATATATATATATATATATATATATATATATATATATATATATAAGTTTACTATTTATTGAGGAAAATGTTGCTTATACCACTGCTAAACACCCTGCTCCAAGTTGACACTAAAACGGAAGGTTAGATTGTTCCGTGAAATATTTTAATTTTTTTTTATTATTTTTTTTTTTATTTTGGCAATATTGTTCCACATAGCTTTATATAAATATACAACTTTGTTGGACAATTTCACTATAAAATGCTTATCTCATTTTCATCAAACCAGTTTTAAAAAAATCATGCCTCCCAGACCCCCTCCCCACCACAACCACCACCGGTTTTGTTTAGTGCGATCATTTCTGGCCTGTATTATAATGATAATATAAGGTATATGTAAGTAATTATTTTCGTATTTATTTCATTTCAAATTAAATTTCTTAGAGTAGGCAGGATGAAAAACTTGGAATAAAGCCGAGGCTGTACACATAAAAATGCTGGATTAAAGTACGTGCATGTATAATTCTTAGGGATGGGTATCGGCAAAAATTTCGTATCGTGATATATCACGATTTTTTCCCAAGAATATCACGATAAATTGTGATATTTTTACACACCATCTTTACTAATATTTTAAATGAATTTCCTCAAAATTTCTTAAAAATATGCTATAAATAACATAACTTTTTTTTTATTTTTAATCATTTAATATAAAACATGTTTGGATGCCATTGTTTAACTGTTTTCAACATTTTTTACACTTCCTGTAATTGTCATTCAATATTGTGAACAAATAAATGAGTAATTTCCGGAATTTATAGTTATGTACCAAACACCGGTATTTTAGTCTCCGTATCACGATACGTATCACGCAATAAAACATCGCGATATACCGGTATACCGATAAAATCGCGGATCCCTAATAATTCTGCCATTGAAAGAATAACTCTTTTTACTCCTGAGGAAATTTTCAAAATTATTTTGCTTGGAAATAAGATATTTAATAAAGCTTAAAGTTTGCTTTCAAATGTTGCATGATACATGTATAAATACCTTTTTAAATACCGAGTATCAAGAAAGCAAACAGATGTTATTTTGTTTTTTGTTTTGTTTTGTTTTTTGTTTTTTTTGTTTTGTTTTGTTTTGTTTTGTTTTTTTTTTTTTTTTTGTTAGTGTTAAATCCAGACCCTAAAACGGGTATGGTAATCCAATAATCAAAAGGGCACTTTACGCCGCGACAAGTTTTCATGAGGGCACTTTTTTGACGTCTTTAAAATTATAAATATTTTCTTTATCATGTTTATGTACTTAAATTATTATTTAATACTGAAATCTTTAGTTATACAAGTATCTAAAAGAAAAATTTATAAATCTGTCAGCTTAATTCATTTAATACACATTGAGAGGGCAATTATTGCCAAATTTAAATTCAAATTTTTTAATCAAGAAATTTGTATGGTTATCAAGGTTATGCTTAAAAAGTAATAGGTGAGAATCTTTTTGTCACTTCCTCAAGAATAATTTTAATTTGGGGTATGAATTTTTTCCTTGCTTTAATATTGTTATTTGTGTATGAGTTAAATAACAGAACAAAATTGCAAAGGGGGGGGGGGCTACTTGGATATTAAATGTAGAGGGCATTCTCTTTATTTTGAAAATAATCTACCAACAAAATCAAGTGAAAACTGATCATGCCAAAAAATTAAACTTGAAATAATTAATATATAAATTGGTTAAAACTTTTTTTCTGGCTTAGAAACATTGAGCCTCAGGGTGTCAACTCAGAAAGTTAGAACACGTAGAATCATGGAACATGTTGAAAGAAACTAACTTCATGCTTTGTTGTTTCCTAGCCCATTTCACACATAATATTCAGTTTTTTTGGTACATTGTAAGTTGACTTAATTTATCAGCAGTTTTATTTTTCACATTTCTTCATCAACTCTGTTTTTTCTACTTTCAATTTAAAAAAAACGATCCTGATTTAAAATGTGTAACATTTTAATTTACAAATTAATCTATCTTTGACTTTGGGCTAATTCTTGCATAATCAATGCAATCAAATGATATTTTCTCTGATATCTCTTATACCCTGACAGCCTGAGGCATGTTACCTGGCCAGGTGGCTGTGTGCGTTCAAGCAAGAAGTGATTTCCTGTCCTGAATTCCCACCTTTGCGTGCATTAAATAAACAAAGGGGCTAATCAGCATGCACTGAATTAACAAAGCCGCCAGTCCATCTTGCCTCTGCTAGGCATATTTATTTATTTTTGCAAGGAAAAAAGGGCATGGCGCTGGAAAAAAGGGCATGGCGCCGAGAGAAAAGGGCATGGCGCCGCGCCATGCTAGTTTGCTTGTAATTAAAAACGTATGACTTACTGAAAAGAAACAAAAGGAATATTTTTCTGATGATTTATAATGAAGAACCATATTTAGAAAAAATATTTCTAATTTTAATGTAAAAACATCCCGATTGAAATAAAACCGCAAAAATGCAAAAAATAATTAATTAATGAAACTAAAGACAATTGCAACCTGTAAGACATTAAAAAATCAAGTAATTTGTTAACAATATTACAACAAAAGAAGCAAATTTAATGATGAAAATATAGTAGCTTTCCTCTTTATATAATTCCGGACCTGATCGGTTTAATTTGGAAAAAAAATAATTTAAAAAATAGCTATAGTTGACTCCTTTTTTCTCTCTCAATATACCCGTTCCAATCGATTTTATTGATTGATTCAATAACTTGCATTCATAATAGCATGAGGAGAAATTTTTGTCATTGAAATGTATTTTAGAACGTAATAAAAGTTGGATATTGAATTCAAAAAGTCACTTGCTAAACTAAATTTTGGACCACCTAATTTTTTCTTAAAAATATAAAATGGAGTCTTATTCATTAATATAATAAAAAAAATAAGGGTTTATACCAAAAATAATATTGATCGACACATCTAGATTTTGAGTATCTTTTTCATATAAAACAAAACAAAACCGTAGCATTTTTTTTACCATTGTGCATGCAAAAAATAATTAAAATCGATGACATGCGATGTGCCACCCATTGCCTTGTGGATTGCCTCTTACCTCATCTTAAATTTATATTTTATCATTAAGTATAAAAGAATGTTCTCTTTATTTTTCTTTAAGAATGTCTCAACGAAGAAGAGGTGAAAAAGGAAAAGAAAAAAGAGGAGAAGCTAATGGATTATAGAGTACATCTGCAAAAAAATACGGCACTAAGAATATTCAATAAAATGTAAAAAAAAAAAAAAAAAAAAAAAAAAAAAAAAAAAAAAAAAGAAAGAAAGAAAGAGAGAGAGAAAAAAAGAAAAGAAAAACAATAATTCCAATAACATTGAACTTTATTACGAGGCAATCGATTATTAATATTTTTAAATAATAATTGTATTGTCATGATTTTTAAAAATTACTCAATTCTTTAATATTATATATACCCCATGTAATTCTTTTATTGTATTTTAAAGACAGACATGAAGCATTACAAGACATGAACTTTGAATATGTGCATAGATCCTTAGGAATATAAAAAAATGCATAATTGATTTTATGCAATTTTTTCCTCGTACAACAACAACCCTTGTTTAAGGAATATAATTTACTTAAATGATATTAATTTTATGGGTCTACGTCTGGGTTTTTCTTTTTCTTATACCCATTGAAGAATGGTTATCATGAAAATCAGACTCTAGATAATTTGTTTGACTTAACTATCTCAGCGTTTTTCTTATCGTTTTGTTAAATTTCCTGTCCAGTATCATAGTATTTAACCATTTAGAAATCTTAGTGTGTACAAGTAAGGTATCTTAGTTAAATACTGTAAATTATCTGTATAATCAAATTGGTATTTCAATTGGTTTTATTTCACAATGTGAAGATAAATTAGCGACAAAAAAATGATTTTTTTTCCATCTTAAAAAGGTAAAAATGGTATTGAAATAGGATAGGTAGGTAAAAAAATATTAAAGCAGGCTGAAACGACCGCATATTCTTAAGAGTCCAGATTACAATTATTCGTTCCATAGCCTCTTAGTTCTGCTTAAGCCAAAATTCTGAAAACTGTTTCATCATCACTGGTCCATGTGCACTTTCCTACATGTAAACTCGACGTTGATGACTAAAATAATACAATTTTGAAAATATCCTTGTTGAATAACTCGTATTTATCGTCCGAAGAATTATCCATATCTATTTGTGTTTTTATGTCTCATTTATATGTAGTGCAAGTATGCAGATATTCAGATATTGTAATCGTTATGATTTTGAGAATATTTAGATATCAAGTACGAGGGGTTATCAAAAAGTTCGTGGACTAGCACCATAAAATTAAAACCACTTTAGGTAAAGAATTTAGGTAATGGATTTTAATACATTTAGTTAGCATCATCTTTTTTATCTATAGAATAAACCATAAATCATAAATTTTATTATTTTTAATAAATTGTTAATGGTTTTGTGAGCAATGGTATGTCCCGGCGGCGCAACCAATTCAGAAAAACTCTTTTGATACGAGCATTTGTCATAAAAAAAATCCCGTCAATTCAGGCATGTCGTACAATACAATTGTTCCGTAAAATTTGCAATTTTTACCTCATTCCGTCAGTTCTATGAAATTTTATCATAAATTTTATATGGAGTGTCCAAACAATTAAGGACTTGAAAATGACGTCAAAAGGGGGAAGGGGTTTCTTTTTCCAACATTCTATAGAGTTTCGCACCTGGAAAAACTGGTATAGACCTAGAAAATGTTTAAACGGGCTACAGAAAAATAGAATGCATCCCGAGTGCTTGTTTTTAAATACCAAAACAGATTCAGAGACATGAAAGATGCACAGTTAATATCGATTTGTAGTTAGGGTGTCAAAAATCAGTCACGTCCAAAAGTGACGTTTATCATGTGTGGTAGAAATTGAATTCCATCAAGCTTAGTATTCTAACATAAACAAGTGAGGATCTTTCCATGTGCATAGATCCATATACAATATTATATGCATTGAAAGCAGCTATTTATGACAATTTAAAGTCATATAAACAAGACGGGATTAAGTTACTTAATTTCAGGTAATCGCATCAAGATAAGTGTATGAGGTAGAGAAAGCGGACATTGAGAAACAATGACGTTGTCGGACGTCATGAAACTAAAAGGCGACAGCTCCGGGTGATCGTATAATGTCTTTTTTATTTCAGAATAATTTGGCAAAATTCAAGCTTAAATTTTCAACATTTCTTAAACTTTTGCAATTTAATGTTCCTTATAAATTTTGTAAGCACAGACTACATAGTTTTAATTATATTGCATCAGTCCACGAACTTTTTGATAACCCCTAGTATATAATATTCACAATATGTTTCCATAAAAAAGGACCCAAGAGCCTAGAATCGCTCTTCTGATAAATTACACAGCCTATCACTTCAGAAGATTTGATCACGTACCGACCCACTTCATTTCCCAGTGAAGTTTTTAAACTTGTTATTTATTACTTATATATACATTTCAGACGGACAATCGAATATAAATATTGCACTAACTGTTCGTCGTAAATTTTGACAAATTACGCAAGGTGTAAATCGGCTTGAAAAGCGGTTACGCTTCAAATTCATCTAGCAAAGCATTCTGTTTTGAAGGGAATATTCTGTGAAAGGCTACTTGTGATCAATTATAGTGAGCATATTGGTGTCTGGGAATTTTTGTATTCATGAGAATCCATAATCGATGTTAAAAAAAACATGAGAAACACGTCCGATGTTTGATAATAAAAAGTTGGAGGAATTTCGGTCGGAAAGGGATGGATGTAGACACTTTCCGGACCAGATAACTTGAAATCAAGTTTAAAATTTGATCAGAAACATAAAATCTACGATTTCAGTAAGGCGTATTTATTATGATGTTGACACGGAGACACTGGCGACAGATTACATTGTTAAGAGAACGCTCCCGATGAATGACGTGTGCCTACCGATCGAACTTCCGAAGTGTTTGTCAGCTGCTTTTGGCGTGATTGCATTACATTGATATTTTCCAACAGATTTTAAAATTTATTGTTAGTGAAGTTTAATAAAAAAAAAAATCATTGCATTCAGAGGTCTACAAGAAAAAATAAGGGTAACGTTAAACGTTGAGACTTTGGAGCTCAGACATGAAACTTATAACATGTAGTTTTCTTTTCTCTATGTAAAATCGATCAAGAACTGTATTAAATGCTCGTTTACATTGTAAATAAAATGATTATTATTTTACTTGTGTATTTTGTACATTTTTATGCATTAAAAACATGCTATATTGCTAAGTAGAGCAAGTCTTTTTTATGTAGATATTACTGCGCTTTGTAATTAGGTCAGGTAATGACCTATGACCTTCGAAAAACTTCATACAGGTATGAAGATAGTTGCTCTCTGCATGTTTATATAATAGAGAGATACCACAAATGTATATATTTCTATTTGAAGCTTCTAAATATCCAATTTCTATAGAAATAAGAGGTCCAGGAGCCTTGAATCGCTCTTCTAATACACTATGCAACCTATCACTTCTATTTGAAGCCTCTTAGTATCCTGTATATTTAGATAAACCCTTGAAATTCCAAAGATAGGTCATCATGACCATACATTTTAGATGAAACACTCTGAGAACCCAAGATGATTCTAAGCCAAATAGTACCTGAGGGTAGGTCATAGTGACCTACTTATCACTTGTCATTCTCTGAGGACCCAAGATGCATCAACTAAGTTTGATGATTCTAAGCCAATTAATACCTAAAATATTTTTAAAATTATAACCATAAAATTTCAAAGTAGGTCACAGTGACCTACTTTTCAGATGACGTACTTTGAGCACGCAAGATGCATCAACTGACAAAGTTTGATGCTTCTTAGCCAATAATTAAGTACCTGATATATTTACATAAAACCATAAAATTTCAAAAATAGGTCACAGTGACCTCCTTTTCAGTCGACTAGCTCTGCGGACCCAAGATGCTTCAACTGATAAAGTTTGATGATCCTAAGCCAATTAGTTCCTGAAATATTTAATTAAAGCCATAATTTTTCAAAAGTAGGTCATGGTGACCTACTTTTCAGTCGACCTATACCGAAGACCCAAGGTGCATCAACTGACAAAGTTTGATGATTCTAAGCCAATTAGTTCCTGAAATATTTAATTATAGTCATATAAATTGAAAAGTAGATCACGATGACCTACTTTTCAGTTGACGTTTTCTGAAGACCCAAGATTCATCAATTTACAAAGTTTGATGCTCATAGGCCTTAAAATGTCCAAATTATGCCTCTAAAACGCTTTGAAATTGAATGCCTGCAAAGTTCAAAAAGTAGGTCACTGTGACCTACTTTTTAATAAATTTGTTTTATGGCTCCAAGATGCATCATCTTACAAGAATCAATGGTTCTAAACCTGTAAGTATTCGATTTAATGACATTAATCGTTTTGAAAAAGATTAGCCAAAAATTAAAAAAGTAGGTCATGATGACCTACCTTTTAGTCGACGTACTCCGAGGACCCAAGATACATAAACTGACAAAATTTGATGATCATAGGCCTTAAATTGTTCAAAATATGCCTCTGAATCATTTTGAAAAAGAATGGCAGCAAAATTTAAAAAGTAGGTCACCGTGACCTACTTTTAAGTCAATATGTTATGGGGTTCTTGCATCAACTGTCAAGATTTGATGATCCTAGTCCTTATAGTAAGCAAAATATCAACATTTTAATAAAATGTAATTTTTGGTCAACTTTCAAAGTACCTTGAGACCTTGCCCTTTGCCCCAGGGTAAATCCCGTGCAAATTTTAATCAACAACATATCCTCATCCTCATCCTTTTGTGTAAGTTTTGCGTAAGTTTACTGATAATCTACCCAGAGGTTCTTGAGAAGAAGACTTTTTAGCAACCAGTACTTTTGCTTCTGATTTCCTAATTATCTTCCCTTGTTTAAGGGTCACAACCCTAGTTTTAGTGAAAACGAGAGCCCTTGAGCCAAGGATACTCTGTGACAAATTTGACAATAATTGGCCAAGGGTTTCTTGAGTTATGGCCCATATTCTAAAAAGTTTATGCACATCGCACAAATGGCCAAATGAGCTTTTGGCTCAGAAGAGCTAAAAAAACCTTAAAATTC